TGAAGGTTGCCCTGCCCAGGGCAGGGGCTTGAGCTGGATGGGCTTTAAGGTCCCTTCAACCCAAACCAGGCTGGGGTTCCATCATATTTACACACCAAAACAGGGAACTTGGGAAAACTTGACTCTTTGCCTTTTGCACCTGGAGGCTTCACTTCGTGCAGGACACCAAGCCAAAGCTGTGTACATCTCCAGCCCACAGCGCACGGGAGGATGTTTGAGTCCCTGCGCCTCTCCCTCAATGCAGGGAATTTTCAGGACCCTCCACTTATCCCAACTTCTCCACGTGTGGGATGAACCACCCTCCCCACAGGGTTGTGACTAAAGCCAGACTGAGCAATAAGAATGGAACTGGAGGAGATGCCCCCATGGGAATGGTGATTCCACGTAACCATGGTTTTGCACAGAACACAGGGCAGGAGTAAGAAATGAAGCTCAGGATCTGGCACCCACCGCACCCCCAAGTCTGAGCTCTTGTGTGAGTGCTGAAGAACCTGCACACCAAGAGAATGCCTTTTCCTGCAAGGAAAGGATCATAGAATCCCAGCCTGGTTTGGGTTCAAGGGACCTTAAAGCTCCTCCAGCTCCAACCCCTGCCCCGCGCAGGGACACCTTCCACTGGAGCAGGTTGCAAAAGGACCTGGGCTTCACCCCCCAACAAGCTGATGGGTCTCTGTGCAAATTCATTTCCATGTTAAAATATGCCTTGGGGTGTTGGCTGCAAACACGCCTGGAAAGGGAAGTGATCCAGGGGCTCCGACTGGGAATTAGCATTGGGTGCTGGGACCAGCCCGTGCCGGGGATGAGAACCATGGAGCTGAGCCCGTCGCAGCGCTCCCAGGGCTCGGAGCCACCTCGTCCTTCAGCACCCATCAAAAATACAGCTGTGACCTGAGCTGGGGGTGGCACCGCTGCCATTGCCACCGCTGGTGACAGCTGCTGCCACGTACACAGGGCGCACATCCTGCCACGCGCCCTGCGGCACAGCTCCAACCACGCCAGCGCCCTCCCGCTTTCCACGTGGTGACGGGAATGAGCAGGACACCCGTGATACCTTCACAGTGGGGTGAAACCCCGACCCCTCAGCACCCCCGACGTGTGCCCAGCTCGTGGCAGAGGAGGGGGAGAGGGGGACGAGCAGCACCTGTAGTAGTTTGGTTTGAAAGGTCCGTTCTTATTCAGTCCCAGGTACTTTGCTTGTTCATCCGTGAGCTCTGTCAGGTGGGCATCGAACGTCGGGAGGTGGAGGCTTGCCACGTACTCATCTGAAATCATTGTAAGGCTCGTTAGTACGAGGGGGGAGAAGGCATCGAGTGCCCTCTGTGCAGCAGCTCCTCCTGAGCATCACCCCTCATGTCTTTGCTCCTAAACTGATTTTGACCCCGAGTGAGGAAAACCAAAGCCTCTCATCTGCCTGGGGCAAACCTTCCTCTGAAATACCCTTCTAGGAGGGCTCCTGGGTCTGCTGCTGAGTCCAGGAGACACCAGATGTTTCTGGTAGGTGACACCTACCATCCAAGCTGGGATAAGCTGCATCTGGCCTCAAAAATACATTTAACACCAAAGAAGTCCCAGTTTTGCAGCAAAACTGTGGTCAGTGCAGCCTGCACCCTCAGGAGGGGGGTCTGCAGGCAGGGCTGGTGGCCAGGGATGTCTTCACAGTAACACAGGCAGCTCTGCTGGCAGAAGCCCTGCATGAAAATCCCCTGCATCAGCCTCGACTCCTGTGGTCAGCCAAGTGCTTCAGCCTGTTTTCCCCAGGTGGGATGGAGAAACATCTACTGAAGAGCCCAGACCCAGGGGGAAGAACTTGCTGGAGCCCCTGAGCTTGGCAGGGTGTTCCTGGAGAGCCCAGGAGGCTGCAGTGCCCCCTTGTCCTCAACCCAGCCCCAACACAACCTCCCATCTGTTCAGTGGGACAGCCAACGAAGAGAAGACAAGGAGAACATCTTTACCCATCTTCTTAGGCAGCAGGTACACGTCTTGCTTGTAGCGGCCTTCAGGGGCGTTGTACAGCTCTATCAAAGCCAAAGCCTGGATGGAGAAGACACCGAGGTAAGAGGCTGCTGCCCACTATGGAGCTTCTGGCTCAGCCCAAACCCTACTCGCCTGCGTGGTGGCAGTGATGGACAGGACAAAGGTGGGGACAGTGGAGCAGCTCAGGTTCAGGAGGCGGCCCTGGGGAGCAAAGACTGGTGTTACCTCAACATGGCACCAAAACCAGCTCACAACCTGAGAGAGGTACAACCCCCCCAGTGAAACGTGTTCCTTCTGGGGTGAAACACCCTTTCTCACACGCACTTGAGTCCCAAGATGCTGCTTGATTTTAGAACTCAATAAAACTATTTAGAAGTGAAAAATCTGATCAAATACCCTGGGGCAGACACCCTGGAGTGGGATAAAGCACAACACAGGAGCTTTTCTCTGTTCCAGTAACTCGTGGACCAAACCAGGGCTACACCAAGCCCTTCAACCAGAGACTCTCAAGCTGCTGAGGCCCAAGAGGGTGATGTCTGGACCCTCTTCAGCTCCACCACTCATCCAGACCTTGTTTTCTCCCTCCCCAAGCAGAGAACAAGCTGCAGTCCCTGCTCCTTCACCCTCAACTCACCTCTGCCAGAAGGACTATTCTCTTCCCATCTGGCCAGATGACATGGTCCACCTGGGACCTCACCCTCTCCCAGGTCAGCTCAGGTGTGCGCAGGCTGGCCTGAAACACCGTGGTAAAGTGGTTAAAGCAGTGGTTAAACACCAAAACCCAGGAGCTGCATAATGGGAATAAAAAGAGGAAGCAACTCGCTGGCATCATCGTAGAATCATGGATTGGTTTGGGTTGGAAGGGACCTTAAAGCTCCTCCAGCTCCAACCCCTGCCCCGGGCAGGGACACCTTCCACTAGAGCAGGTTGCTCCAAGCCCCTGTGTCCAACGTGGCCTTGAACACTGCCAGGGATGGGGCAGCCACAGCTTCTCTGGGCACCCTGTGCCAGCGCCTCAGCACCCTCACAGGGAAGAGCTTCTGCCTCAGAGCTCATCTCAGTCTCCCCTCTGGCAGGTTCAAGCCATTCCCCTTGGCCTGTCCCTCCATCCCTTGTCCAAAGCCCCTCTCCAGGTCTCCTGGAGCCCCTTTAGGCCCTGGAGCTGCTCTAAGGTGTCCCCTTGAGGAGCCTTCTCTTCTCCAGCTGCCCCAGCCCAGCTCTCTCAGCCTGGCTCCAGAGCAGAGCTGCTCCAGCCCTCGCAGCAGCTCCGGGGCCTCCTCTGGCCCCGCTCCAGCAGCATCCTGGGCTTATAGCCTGGATCTGGTCACAGTCTCAGACCAACAAAACCTTTATGAATCACAGCCTGGAACTATTTTTGTGATTACAATACATCAAAGCTCCAGCAACAACTCCTGTTCAAGGTCTTCTGGCTGAAGAGGATTCAGTCACCAACTCTGCGTGTCTGTGACCACTTCTTCAAATGGCTTTAAACCCACGGGTTTGGTCAAACAATTCTCCATTGACCTTGAGACAAGATTCTCTTGGTTTTCTACTCATGTCTAAGCACAGGGGAGCAGATTTTGGTGCTGCTCAGTAAAGCGTGATGGGGTCGAGTGTGCTGCTGGGTTGCACAAAGCTGAACTCTTGGTTGGGTTGGACTGGGCTGGAAAGGGTGACCCACTGACTCTCAAGGGGAAGGAGTGAGGCTCGTGTACCCCAGACACTATGCTGGAGGCTGGAGCAGTTTGTCCATCTCACTGGCATCCTCTGGGATTGCAGGAATGACAGAGACATGTCTAAAAGGGTCTGCTGAGACACAGCGAGTGATGGCTCATTTGATCTCCCCCCAGGTCAGACAGAGCTGCCAAAAGGGAGATTTAGGTTAGATCTTAGGCAGCAGCTCTTCCCTGTGAGGGTGCTGAGGCGCTGGCACAGGGTGCCCAGAGAAGCTGTGGCTGCCCCATCCCTGGCAGTGTTCAAGGCCAGGTTGGACACAGGGGCTTGGAGCAACCTGCTCGAGTGGAAGGTGTCCCTGCGCGGGGCAGGGGTTGGAGCTGGATGAGCTTTAAGGTCCTTTCCAACCCAAACCAGGCTGGGGTTCTATCACCCACCATCACCCACCATCACCCCAGGCTCACCCCTGCACTCACCACATCGATCTCGGTGTTGGAGTGCCCCATGTTGCAGACGATGCAACTGTTCTTCATCCGATCCAAGTGTTCCCTGGTCACCACGTTCTTGTTGCCTGCCAGACAGCAAACCTCAGAACAAACACCCTGTTTGCCTTCCCCATCTCTCTGCCTTTTCCTTTGGAAAAAGATGGACCCGATCCCTGAGGACGCATCCTCCTGCCTTGGGCACCACGTACCTGTGCAGGTGATGACGATGTCAACCTGTCTGATGACTTCATTGAGCTTCACCAGCCGGAATCCATCCATGCTGAGAGGAGAGGGAGGAAAAAGTAAGTCTGAGAAGCAGCAAAACGTGCCCAAAATAGAAAAATACCCTGCTAAATGCTTCTTAGGTACTCATTTGAACCCACTAATGCCACAACCAGCAAAGCAGCACTTGAAGGGCCACATCCCCCACAGGATTAGGAGGGTTTCTGGAGGATTTGGGACTGTTGTGGGGAGAAGTGAAAAGAGATGTGGGGGATTTCCCATTTTCTGTCCCGTCCCCCACACCTGCAAAGCAAGATTTTCCATCGAGATGGCTTTTTTACTGCTGCACAGTACATGCTGAAGATGCAGATCCACCTCCTGCTGCAGGAGCCTTTCTGATCCGCATTTAGAGCATCTTCAGAAATATCAAACCCAAACAGTCAAGCCCACAGATGCCTGTCACCAACGCTGCAATCCAGATTTAGGCACTTACAGCATCTTTAGATGTGCTGAGTGCTCAGCATGTCTCCCCTGACTTCACCCACCAAGGTGTGGTCAGCACTCAACAAGGGCTGGAGGGGGTTTTTTTAGGATTTGTTGACATTCCTCCTGAGAACTGATTTCTGTGGCTCTCACAAGCTGCAGAATTGTGGGTGCTATAAAAAGAGCCACTTTTTTCCTGCTTTATGTCCCATTTATTGTGTTTCTCCCCCTGACACGAGCGGGACCACACGGGGCTGCCTTGGGCAGAGGCAGGAATTGGGGTTGTTGCAACCCACCAGATTCACGATGAAAGCTCTGGGACCAGTTGTGGAGGTCACAAGCCAGCTGGAAGTTGCTCAGCTCATTACTCAGGGCTCATTAGTTTCCTCACTTTGAAGGCTTGCTGAGAGGAAGAGGCTGAAGGCTTAATAAGGCCTTAGGCTTAATAAGGTGGTTTTGGGACTCTGCTTTCATGGTCACATCCCAACTCATGCCTTGGGCTGCAGAAGCAGCATCTCTGCGCCAAAACAACCTTGACCTGGAGGAATGAGGTCTGGTATAACCACAATGTGCTTGTGTGAGGGGACAGCCACGTGCTCTCAGCCCTGTGTCAGGGTGCTGGTGCTAGTGAGGAGAGGTTTGTGAGGGGTGGGTGATCACAGAACCCCAAATATCCCTTGGGAGAGGGGTGGGCACAGCCCAGTAAAGCCCAAGTTTGCACTTCAGAGGTTGCAGTTCACTCCCAACATCCTTTCAAGCCACTATCATTAAACTCTTGGCCACTGTGGTTATGATCATGCAAGCTGGTATCTGGGATACACATAAACTGGGTGATGCTTTAGTGCAGGAACCCTTTTCTGGCTGTAGGACAGAGCTGTGTGTCCCTCCGAGGGTGTGGAGAAGCTACAACCCCCCCACCAGTGCCCCTCTCGTGAGGGACCACTGCTGAGTGGTTTCTGGCCATGGTTTTCTGGAAGAACAAAGAAGCCTCAAGAAGCAGCTGGGCTCAGTGCAAGTGCTTACCAGGCCTGGAGGGCACAGATTGGATCGATCTCTGTCACATACACTATGGAGCCCATGGCCTTCAGAGCAGCACAACAGCCCTTTCCAACCTGGGGAGGGAGAAGAGCACAGAGCAAGAGTGAGATGCTGAGAGCTCAGGAGATGCTCACATCAATATGGCCATGGGGGATGTACAACTCCATGTGTCTTCTGTAGCCCCAAGAGCCCTTTGCAACCCTCTGGTTGCATATACTCAGCTTCTGGGTGCATGAAATTCCTGGATTTGGAGTAATTTGGGACTCAGCTTAGATAAGAGGCACTAAAAAATGTAAAAGTGACGTTGATTTTGGTCCCAGGGAGTTGTTTTTCCCTCTTGGTATCTAGAAAGCACCAGGAAAACAAGAGATTACCCTTGTCTCAGGGAAAGTTTGAGTCTCTTGTAACCTTTACTCTGTTTTGGAAGCTTAATGGTTTAATCCCTGAGGGTTAAAGAGCTTTAACCTTTACACAGCACACACAGTGCAGCTCACAAGGGAATTCAGGGCAATGGTTAAATGACCAAGAGCTCCTCAAAACTGTGATTACACATCAAGGAATTGTCCCATTTCGGCTCTTTGGGAAAGAAAAGAGCCCCAGTGCAGCACCCACAGCACTGCCCACCATAACTGGTGTGAACTGGTCCTGACAAGGGTGGGTATCCCCATCCTTGAGAGAGGATCACTCTGTCTGGGGCTGAAAACATGGGGATAGGTCAAGATTAACTTCTCTTTCTTGACCATGTTTCAGCATGCAACACTGTGGTTGCACAGTTCATCTGCAGGACCCAGCCTCCAAATGCCTTAATATTATATAAAATAGAATATAAAAGATCATATTACTATATGATGTGTTAATATCTGGATATGCCAATATTCAGATATTAAAGTTATTCAGAATACTTTATACTCATGTCTCTTGAAGATTCAGGTTTGCCATCTGTTTAATACTAAAGAAATAACTGGAAATGAGGAAAATCTTCCAGTTTTGGCCAACCCATCGTGTCTGAAGACCCCTGCAGATGCAGAGACAAGCCCCAAGGACAGAAAAGCCCCGTTGGATAAAGCCATGCAAAGGATGTGCCAGTTTTACATGCAGTACCTGCAGGTAGGATGTAATCCCCTTACCTCCCCGTAGCCACAAACCACCACTTGCTTCCCTCCAAACATCATGTCTGTCGTCCTCTTCAGGCTGAGGAAAAAGGAAAAGAAGGAATTAAAGACCAGCACTAAGATCTAGTCCATTGCTGAGGCTGTGAAGGGCAGTGGACTCTTGGTTTGCTCCTCCTAAACCCCACAGTTGTATCCTATATCCCTGAGGACACACAGCAATTTGGGTGCAGAGAGGACCCAAAGGACCCCTAAAACTTGGTGTTTTCCTTTGGTCATTGTGGTAACCCAACAAAGATGGAAGAGTTGGGGTCTGGATCCCTATTTTATTTAGTTTCGGACTCCAGAAATGTTTAAGATCTTCTAAAAAAATATTTTCTTCTTATTTATTTTGTTTTACATTCAACCCCCCCCCAAATAGCTCCAGAAGAAGCAGGAAAGTGGTAATTTATTGCCCGAATCCCAGGGCTTTCCACATTAAAGCTCTCCCTTCCACTCGGATTCCTTCTGCTTTCTCCCTAAGAATGCCCTACATTGCAGGCTATTTTTAGCACTCCAGTAAATAGGTTAGCAGTGCAGCGAAGGTGACATTCCCTCACATTTCCAAGAGAACACAGAGAAAACCACAGCACCTCTGCTCAGGCTTCCCTTGGCCCAGTTTTAGATGCCTGGGCCAGGCTTAGCTCAAATCCCAACCGACCAGCCCCTGAGGTGCATCATCCATCACAACAGGATAAACAAGATCTTAAGGATTTTCAGGTTTTTAGCCACTGAGAGCACCTGGTGGAACATGGAGCTGAAAGTTGTGTCTTCAGCTCAGAAGCTGGGGGCAGCTCGTGACTGGGTAGTTGACCCCATCTTCCAGGGTCTGAAGGGGGCTACAAGGATGCTGGGGAGGGACCTTCATCAGGGACTGGAGTGACAGGACAAGGGGTGATGGGTTCAGACTGAAACAGGGGAAGTTCAGGTTGGAGATAAGGCAGAAGCTCTTCCCTGTGAGGGTGCTGAGGTGCTGGCACAGGGTGCCCAGAGGAGCTGTGGCTGCCCCATCCCTGGCAGTGTTCAAGGCCAGGTTGGACACAGGGGCTTGGAGCAACCTGCTCTAGTGGAAGGTGTCCCTGCCCAGGGCAGGGGTTGGGACTGGATGAGCTTTAAGGTCCCTTCAGCCCAAACCATTCCATGATTCTGTGACAGAGGCTGCCTTGTGCAGCTTGAATCCCATGACACTGAGCACAGACATGGCCATGATAAAGAAGGAAGGGTGATGTAATTAGAAGAATTACTTCACCAAGATGCCTTCATAGAATCCCAGCCTGGTTTGGGTTGAAGGGGCCTTAAAGCTCCTCCAGCTCCAACCCCTGCCCCAGGCAGGGACACCTTCCACTAGAGCAGGTTGTCTATAATGCAACATCTTGGCAGGGAAGAGCCAGATTCCATCACTGCTGGACTCAACAAGGAGCCCAGAAGTTAAGTCTTTTAGAACAACACGTGCTGGAAATGTGGGGAAGAAACTGCACGTGCAGTGGATCATCCTGAGATCCACTGTTTGGTGGTTCACTAACCAATGTTAGCAACGGCACTTGCACACGCTTTAAAGATCATCCTCATGCCCTTGTATGTGGACAAATATGAGCCTCCTTCACTTCTCTGGTCAAGATGACCACTACCAAGAAGACTGCTTCAAAGCCGAGGTGATGAGTGAGGCACTACGTATCCCACAAAGATCTGGGAGAAAGATGTTAGAGCAGAGGCCACCACTGACAGGGAAACATATGTTGGGTGTCTGAGAACCTCTGGTGCCACCAGATTGAAGGCAGCAGGAGCCCAGCTGAACACCAAGAGACTGCCAGATGGACTTTGATGAAACAGAAGGAGACGTTCCTGCGTTGGTGAGGAACTGACAACTGCAGCTCTCAAGACTTGTTTAAACCATGAGAACAGCCCTTTCTCATGAAGCTGTCTTATTCCTTCTCTGCACCAGAGCTACCTGGCACAGAGCAGGCAACCTTCCCTCTGTGTCCATCTCAGCAGCATCAACACCCGCCTGGGAAGTCAACTTTGTCATCGCTCTGTGCTTACTTGGCTACTGGGACCACTACTTGGTGCAGTATCTCACAGCCTGAACTATAGGAATAAGATTTCCTAATCTCACTTGGCTTTGACAAGATTTGGTGGTGGAGGTGGTGGGGACACGGGCACCCAATTCCATCAAAACAAGGAAAATAAAGGGAGGGAGAGAGGAAAAAATATCCCTGCGATGAGATTTTCACTCTCCAGATCACAACTTCAGGCAGTTTGCACTTGCATTTCAAGACCAACAGTCTCAGAAGATACATCATGTTCCTGGTGCCCACGTATCTGTCAGCAATTGATTCCCATCCAATCCTGAAAAGAACAGCACCATCGGGATGCTGCAGAGCTGCTCCCAGGCCCACGGCTGCCCACTGGCATTTTAGGGAGGAGGGAGCCCAGGGGGAAGCAAACACTCTTCTGTTTGCTTGTATGGCATGTGGCTGGAGATCCTGCAGGAGCAGGGAGGGCAGAGGTGGATAAAGCACCCAGCATCCCTGTCATTCCCACCTCCTGCACCTATTTCTTTACACTCAGCTGAAGAACAGGGGCTCAACCCTCTCACTCAAGTCTACCTTCTGGACACACAACTGCTACGGGATAAAGCCTCCATCTCCACAACCTCTTCTGTTTTCTTTCTTTTGGTTTATGGTATATTCATAGCAGAGGATAAAAAAGGAAACTAGAAAGGCAAAAGATCACAGAATGCCAGAATCATTATGGCTGGAAAGGCCCTCTGGAGATCATCCGGTCCAACCCCCTCCCAAGGCAGGGCCACGCAGAGCAGGGCACACAGGAACATGTCCCAGTGGGTTTGGAATGTCTCCAGAGAGGGAGACTCCACAACCTGGGCAGCCTGTTCCAGTGCTCTAATTTACAGAAGTTCTTCCTCATGTTGAGGTGAAACTGGTTGTGTTTGAGTTTCTGGCCATTGCTCCTCATCCTGTCACTGGGCATCACTGAGAAGAGTCTGTCCCCATCCTGCTGGCACCCCCTTTGAGCTATCGATCTGCACTGACGAGATCCCCCCTCAGGCTGCTCTTCTCCAGACTGACCAGGCCCAGCTCCTGCAATCCCTCCTCAGAAGAGAGATGCTCCAGAGCCCTGAGCATCCCTGTGGCCTCTGCTGGACCCTCTCCAGCAGCTCCTGGTCTTTCTTGTAGTGAGGAGCCCAGAACTGGACACAGTGCTCCAGATGTGGCCTCACCAGGGCCGAGCAGAGGGAGAAGATGCTGTGATGAAGGGGCTGGCTGAAACACACACACCCCAGACATGGATGGGTTTTATCCTGATGCCACAAAGGTTAAGAGGGATGGGAAGGAGTATTGTAGCCATGCATGAGGGCTTCTGAAGTCCTCACACAGAGAAGCTGCAGTGTTTGAACACAGCTCCAGCCATGCTCACCAAGAAGGGAAAACACGAGTCACCTACATGGAAGGGCAACATCACCCTGGGAGGTGATCACAGAATCATAGGACTTCGAGACTTTAGAGACCTAAAGTCTTTGTTGCAAGATCATTCTACACACACGAGATTCAACATTATCCTTCTGTGGTGTGTATGTCTGTAGAGCTTTACAACCACTAGTACAAGTCTTAGGGTCTTCTGACCCATAGAGACACAGCTGCTGTCTCAAAATGCCCTCTAGGTTCTCATCTTTGATAGGATGGACAAGAGGTAATAAAGAGACTTTGTTCTTCTTCAGGACATCAGTTCATAGAATCATGGAATGCCAGGTTGGAAGAGACCTCGAGGATCCCCTGGTCCAACCTTTGTTGGCAAAGCATGACCTAGACTAGATGTCCCATCACCCTGTCCAGCCCAATGGAGCGTCCAACGCTGGGGAGCCCACCGCTTCCCTGGGGAGAGCATTCCAATGGTTCATTGTTCTCATTGACCTAAAACGACCCACGGACCTGTGAGGTGTGACGTGACATGAGCACGAGACACAGCCCCATGTTGGTGGCCATACACGTACCCATCCAGGATGGACTCTCTGCAGCAGTACAGGTTGTCAAACTTCTGCTTGGTGACTGAGTCGTTGACGTTCATGGCTGGGACACAGAGCTTCCCTGCTTTGGACAACTGGTACAGCCTGAACAGGGATACAGGAACATACAGGTCATCAGTGGAGAAGTACTTCCCTGTGCTCTACTGGTGTGTGCTTTTGAGGTCCTTGTTTCATTGGGGTGAGCAGCAGATGTCTGGAAGGTCAAAGATAACCTCTTCTTGGGAGGTCCTCATTTCAGGAGGAGCTTCCACAGATGTTTGCATCTGTTTTCCTTCCCTACTGAATAACAATGGCAAATAGCAGACTGGAAGGTGCTCTAGAATCCATCTGCCTCATAACCATTGGTATTACAACCATCCTCTGATGTCCTCAAAATGACACCCCCCTCCCCCCCATCCTGCTTCAAGGTAAGATGAGAGCTCCTGTAATTCCTCAAGCTCTTCTAGGTCAAGACCAATAGGAATGGCCACAGGAGGATAACATCACAGCAACGTGGAGCTGCTGTGACCAACTCCTGCAGCAAAACATCAGGTTGAACAGCAGCAGGAGGGTAATCACCGAGATGGAGAGCAAGAAGTACCCGTGGTGGGAGGACATCACCTGACCTCCTACTCCTGAGAGCAGATTCAATGCCTGGCAGCAGCAAACCTCTAGGAATGGATCTAAACACTGCTCTATGGCTACAAAGAGAACTTGAACATCATCTCCCTGCTCCAGACCTTGGGAAGGAGAACACGCTCCCTTGGTCAGGCCCTAGGGACCACCTCCAGTGTCATCTGGGGAGCCTCAGTCCCATGTTGCCTGTCCCCTGGAGGTAAGGAGCATACATGCATTGATAGCACCAACCTCAGAAACAACCTTGCTTCTGCCTTGAGAACATGGGGAGCAGTTTTGACCATTGCTTTGGTTTTGTACCTCTCTTTTGCACATCCCGAGAAGATTCCCAGTACCAAAACTGTGACCAGGCCCTTTTCTTGACCCCTGTGGCTGCAAAACTGAATTGGTCACTTCCTTGTTCCCAACATTCCATTTCCCTGTTTTGAGGAGCCCCTTCTCCCATCACAAGTCTGCTTCTGCCACATGATGGATGGACCTCAGCCATTTGTGGTTCTCCCTTCCTGGACTCCCACCCCAACTAGAGACTCATTTCCTCTTTCCAAATCTCACTTCTCTCCATAGATTTAGTGCAGGATGATGCTGTTGACCTTCTCCAAAGCCCTTCTTGTGCAACACCCTCACCCCTTCCTTTTTCCATGCAAAATGAGGTGAGATAACCATTGTCCCTACTTCACAGGTGGGAAAACCACCCCTTGTGCACTTTTCCCACCCATGCAATGGTCAGCAGATGCTTCTGCTCCTCATCTGAAATTCAGAGCAGTAGTTCCAAGTCTACTGCTTTCACTATATGAGATTTAAACCAGCTCTGAAGGGAAAGCCAAGCCCATGCTGAAGGAAAACCACAGATCAGGTATTAGGGGGTTCAACACCCATCTGTGGCATCCTACAGCTTGGAGATCTTTTGTTACGAGTACCCTGAGGCAGAAGATGCTTTGGCCCAAACATCTCTGTGCTCACAGAGCAGCCTTGGCCTGTTACCTGTGGACACCAGTCACGCTCTCCTCTACTATCCCCTTGATCTTCTTAAACATGTTGGGGTATTTCTTGTAAATCCAGTGAGTGAGATCTCCTCCATCATCCAAGATCTGCAATCAGAGTAACCACAAAGTCACTGCTCTGAAGATCCAGGAAGGTCTGCTGAGACCAAAAAGGCATGAATCACACACTCAAATCATCCCTAAGCAAGCCCCTGGTTTGGCATCTCAAGTACCACATTGTGACAGGGCAGGTGAGACTGTTCTGCTTGACTGTTCAGAGCAGGAGCACTGCTCCATCAATGGTGCTGGAAAGGCAATGGTCAAACATGGAAGACCTTGAGGTTTATAAAGACACCAAAAGAAACATCAAAACTAGAAAGAACGGTTGGAAAAGCCTTTGAACCATGAAGAGTCATCAGCTTTTCTGATATAGCTGCTAATGGAGAAGGATAGAGGAGGATGAGGGTGGAGAACGAGGAAGACGGAGGAGTAGGAAGATGAAGGAGTAAGAAGATGGAAGAAGAGGAAGATAAAGGAGGGAGAAGGAGGAGGATGGAGGAGGCAGAGAATGGAGGAAGAGGACGATGGAGAAGGAGGAGAATGGAAGAGGAGGATGGAGAAGAATGGAGAAAGAGACGGACGAAGGAGGATGGAGAAGGAGGAGAATGGAGGAGGAGGACAAAGGAGAAGGATGGAGAAGGAGGATCATCCCCTGCTGCATCTCAATACACAGCCATACCCATGGAGAGTGCTGAGCTCTGAACGCTTCAAAGAGGGACCCTCTGGGGTACCATAAAGAGGTGTCTGGGAAAGAAGACGACACAAGGAAAGGAAAAATCCCAAATGTGCGTTTCCCCGAGTCCTCCTGAAACCCTGGTGGCCTCAGGTGGCCCAAGCAGCGCCCAAGCAGGGTGGGGACTGTGACAACCCCCATTAGAGTGAGGCTCAAGAAAAGACAGGGAGCAGATTTCAACAAGTGGCCGGTGAAGCACCAAGGACCTGAGCTTGCTGAGAGCACATTGCCCCAGATCATCATCACCATCCTCCTCCTCCTCCTCTTTG